AAATATGTTAGAAATAGACTTTTGTTTCTAAATATGCTCTTATATTCCTCTAGTCTTTAATATAGGACCTAATGATTAAGTTAATTTTGGTCCTAAATATAAACATATTTTTCATATTTATCAATTTTTCCTAAATTACTCTTATGGATACTCTCTCAATTATAATCAAGTAAGTGAGGAAGGAAAGATATTGAGAAAGAAGATTATAGTGTTTTAGGAAAAACATGTCATATTTCTTATAATTAACTAACTTACCTAACTTCCTTAATTTAATCAAATTAGTTAAATATGTCTTATGTTAAGAATTTTATGAGTAATAAATAAGAAAAAAGATGAAAGAGAATGTGTAAGAAAATGTGATAAGAGAGAAACAACTAAAGACAACATTGAAAAAATGTATTAAATATTAAGACAAACCTAAAATGAAGCTTATAAAATAGATCACACCGCTTTCCAAATTTGATGCTTTTAAATAGGATCATAGGGAATACTATCTAATAACTCATAGTAATCATAATCATATCTTATAAGAGTGTATATGGACCAGGCTGGACCGGATTTGTTATCAATCCGAAATCTTATCCAATAAAGATCTTGGGCTAAAAAAGATAGCCTAAAGTCTGGTTCAGTCTAGTATCAGCCCGAGGCTGGGTTGAACTAAAATTGGTCTAGTAGGCTGCTTAAACCAATCCAAAACCTCAATTTATTTTTATTCAATGGGAGGCAAGATTGCAACTTACGACATTAAATTTTGCACAACTTTTGATCAAAACTTCATCAAATTTGATCACTCCCTTTCAATTTCTCAATAATGTCACGTTTCATTTATTAATCCTTATCAATATAGATCATATTTTGAAGAAAATATATACACATTCTTATCATTTAGGAAGTTAATAGATATATCTTTATTATTTGAATTGACAAAAAACTTATATAGAAAAATTAAAACAAATTTAAATTATATGAATGATATTTAAAAATTAAAAAAATAAAAACTCGGCCTAGATTGGACTAGACTAACTGGTCTGAAGGGTTAGTCCCCACTCTAGTCTAGCCCAATGAGATTAGTCTTTGGATCAAACTAGATCAGGTTTGTTCAGGTTGGACCGAGTCATACCTAATCAGTTTTTTGCACAGCCCTAATATCTTATATATATTTTTAAAAAAATACAAATAAGCAATCATTAATAGCTCTTAAAATTTTGGCAAAAAAACAAAAAAGCTGTTAAAATTATCACCTGCCTTCAAAGCAGGAAAAAAAAAAATCACTTTCCATGTAATTTTTTATTCATCAAATAAGTGATAAGACCTCTTGTACAATGTTTAACAATATCCACGTACATATTTTCAGACAAAAGAATCTTCCTTTATTTTTTGCCGGACACTAAAGAATCTTACTAATAAGGTTAACAGTAAACAATCAAGATTATGATGGCATCACCTCTGTAAAAAAAAAAAAATACAAATTTAAATTTCAAAAAATATATTTATTGAAAAGGTTTTAAACTTTTAATTTTAACATTTCCGATCTGGTAAAGACTAGTTTACAGTTTAAAAGTGCTCGTGTGGTCTATTTTTACTAACAACAATCATTTTTTATTTACATGCGATCCATCTTTAATTTTGTTTGACCATAAAACATCGGTGAACCGCTAGAAAAGAATTGCACGCTTATCTTAGCATGATTATATTATAATCAGAGACTTTTAATTAAATTTCTCTATAAAATTTTTAAGCATCATTGATATTTGTGTTGTAAAATTAATTTTTTTTCAGGTTTTATTCTAGCTTTTGGTTCTATTTGACCGTCCCATCATTCGTTGTGTTTCGCAACACTACTGCAACTTGCATATATGCTATTGATAATGAGGCAGTAATCTAGTGTTTTGGCACCTTGCAATACCATTGTGTGTGTGTGTGTGTAGAGATAGATGCCATTCACACTCTGAAAAAATAGCAGCTAATTTTAACTTATGTGAACAATGATATTAGCTGGTATTTACAATATTAAATAATAACACATAAATATTAAATAATAACACATAAACATTTTTCTATGAAAGAATAATTTGAGTTGGTGATTTTTTTTTTTTAACCATTCATATCCATCCATTTTAGTATATAAGCCGACATTTTATTATATAAAAACAATGAAGCAGGTGAGCATGTCGGCTCCTTGGCGTATAATTGATTATACACGTCGCAAATTGTAACAAATACTCCATTTTTTTTATTCAATATTCTATATTATATTTTTTTCAACACTCGATACGTTGCAAGTTGTAATACTACCTCCTGTCTTAATTATAAGGTTTCGTTTATAAATTATAAATGAGACTTTATAATTAAGACAAAAAGTAATAGTATAATAGTAGTACACAAAATTTTATTCAAAAGCTATGAATAATAAAATTTATTTTAAATAAAAGCAAGAGGCCCAGTATATAATTTGTAGCTAGGGCTTTCTAGTAACGACGCAAGGCGGCCGACCCCGCTTCTTTCCATGATACTGTAATACTCCTAAACATATCAGGTCATTTTGATGAATAAAATTTGAAATAAGGACTATTCAATGATTTTTTTTCCTCTAATATTGTTTCTTTTTGTTGATTATGATTTTTTTTATAAAATAAAAATAATCAACTTGCATAAAATAAAAAAATAGTTAAATTAATAAATATGTAAAAAGGACAACTTATTTTTTTTAAAAAATTTATTTATGAAGAAAAAGAGAGAGTTTATACACTCGCACGCACAGGGGTTTGCATTTTTCTTTTTTTTATAATCCCAATGCTTCTTTTGTACAAGTATGTGCATTATCATATTAAAATTATGAAGAAACATACTGTGGGAATTGCTATAAAATCTCAAATAAGAAAGATAATTAGTAAAAAATCTCAGTAACTTCCAATAACAAGTTTAAGGGTAGTAAATAACAACTACTCATTTGTGATTATGACTTACTGGTGATTTTTTTTCTTAGGACCCCAATATAATTCTCCCAAAATAAAATATTGCATTGCATTCTGGACTCAAAGAAACTGCCCGGTTTTTTATTAGCTAATTTTGATCTCAGATAGTATACAGTATTTAAAAAGTGCATATTCTTTTTATATATATATTTACTCAAATTTTTATTTTTTAAAAAATTATGTCGAAGCTGGTAAAAAAAATTATGTTGCTAAGTTCTTACTCAGAGATCTGTGGTAACATATGAAAGTGTTTTTACAAATATTTTTTTGCAAAACGAGAAATTTTTTTTAACATATTTATTTTATATGTCGTAAAAATACTTTTAAAATTATGATTTTATTTCTATAAGAAACCTTTGACACTGCCTATCTAAATAAAATGTACAGGAACCAAAATTACATTCAGACTTCAAGCATCCAATTGGAAAATTTGGCAGGCATATTTATGAGCTGGCGATCATGTTCTGAAGAGGCTTGCCGTACAAAATTCACGAGGATGAAGTGAATCTGATTCCCATCAGACCCATCACATTCACCCCTGGAAAAATGACATATGAAGGACTTGATTTTAATTCAGGTACTTAAATTTTAAGATCTTAGGGAAGGAAATAATATCTGCTTGCTATTTTCCAAATACAGTTATAAAAATAACTTTATATTAAAAAAATTATTAATAAATTGTGAACTAATAATCATAAGTGTTGATCAACAAATAAAAAGAAATGTATTGTCAATAACAAATATTAAACAATTAGTAATAAAAAACATATTTATAATAACAAATTTGATAGTTTTTTTTTCTTCAAACTTTATACAAAACATTTTAATCATTTAACTATATTTGTATAATACTATATCAGAATCACTTTCTCTTTTAAGATTCTGAACCCTTAGATACTTAAATTAGAATATTGCAGTCTCGACTTTTCCCTTTTATTTCCCTTTTGTTCTAATCTTTCCCAAATTTCCTTTTTTTTCCGCCTTTCTTTGTCTTCCCCTAAGCAAAGATAACTTCTTGTATGTTTCAATTTCAACATGCATCAACTTAACTTACTGAAATAGTTATTTATTATTCATCCAAGTTAATGGACAATAATGTTTAAAATACATTATTTTTGTTATATTTTCTGAATTGCTTAATATATTTAAGGATCAAATATTATTCAAATAATCATACAATTATTATTGATTAAAAATATATTTAAATTATTGTTTTAAAAGAATTTAAATGGTGGAATGAAAACTAACAAAAAAAAAAGTAAAAAAAGAATTGTTTAATTAGTATAATTATCATTAACAAAAATTTAATATTCCCTGCATTTTCCCTAATTCTATAGAATAAAAAGTAACAAAAAACTTTGTGCTAAATTGCAGATGAATTCCCATATATTTTTTTAAAAAAATATATGCCCGCCCCACCCCTGGCCGCCTCTGTTTTTATCTTCGATAGGGAAAAAACGCGCTTTTCTCCAACGAAGCCCGCCTCCGTTTCCGACCTCTCAAGCGTGAAATATTACCCGAAAGATGCAAACTTTTCAGCTGCATCTACCCTCAATCTTCCCGAAAAGTCAATTTACTTACTCATAACGCTTTTTTGGACACTCGTTAATCTACGAATCTTTGAACTTCCCCTGCTCCGGCCAAGAATCTTAATCAAACCCGCCCCTCAAAACTTATTTTGATTCACAAAAACGAAAAAGAGAAAAAAACTTACAATGCAAATGAGACTGCTTCACAATTCGGATAAGCCCATAATAGATAACTTCCCTGTCTTTCAGATTGGTTTTATGCTCGCAATACCTGGAAGCAAGGCAAGGAATGTGAGAAACCGAAAGAGCCTGCAACGGCAAACTTCAATGGAGGAGGAGAGAGAAAGAATGTGTGTTTCTTTTTCTCTCATGCTCTCTTATCATCCTCAACACAATTTGGTGACAGCTTTCTTGTTGGACTAAACAAAACCCTCAAAACCAAAACCCTGCCGCCAAAGTAACTTATTTCTGTTGTCCCTGTGTAATTTTTGTAACTGTTGTCATCATTTAATTAATTTTTATTATTATAATCCTTAGGTTATTATAAATAAACCCAACACTTTTTCCAACAATTTGCAGGCTTCTTTAATCCAGCAAGTCAGTTCCTTGCGCACTGAAGAGGGAGGGAGGAAGGAAGGGAAGGAAGGAAGCATTTTACTGAAAAGGGACACGAATATTAAACCCCACAAATCTCCCTCATCATTGTTGTTCCTTCAAGAATGCTTCCTCCTATTACCTGCATTCTGTTCTTATGTGTCTTGAGTTCCTTCTCTCCTTCCATTAGAGCTTCCTTCAACCTCACCTTGCCCCACCAGCATCCTTACCCTGAAGCTGTGGTTCATGAAGTTCACAGGTAACCTCTCTCTTTAATGGCTTCCGTTTCCTCTGGGAATATATTTCCCCAGCTCCAGTCACTTGCATTGCTTTGATTCTCATCTGGGTTTGTATCATCCCTCAACATTTTGTTCAAAAAGGAAATCTCATTTGGGCATTCTTCAAAAATCTCATGTTTTTATACTCCGCTTCGAAACAGGAAGTCAGAAACAGAGCATCTCTGTTTTTCCGACCTGGAATCTGAACCTTGCTTCATCCTTGTCTTGTATTCATCGGCATTTTCATCTAAAACGGCAAAATCCCATCTGGGTATTCTTCGTCATTTTCTTTGCATTTTGAAAAATTTGATCTCGCTAAACCAAAGCCCTTTCTCGGCATCCGAACTGAGACGGAGCATTTTGTGTTCCCGCCTCCTAATTTGTGAACTGAGTTTTTATTTTCTTTTTACCTTGCAGGAGAGTCAATGCATCTCTTTCCCGGAGGCAACTACTCGACGGCTCCGGAAAGGACCTCAGTAGTAGCTGTCTCACCGGCAATCCAGTAGACGACTGTTGGCGATGCGACCCTGACTGGGCGGCAAACCGGCAGAAGCTCGCGGACTGCGGCATTGGATTCGGCCGCGACGCCATGGGTGGAAAAGGCGGCCGGATCTACGTCGTCACTGACTCATCCGACCACGACCCGGCGAACCCAACTCCGGGGACACTTCGTTTCGGAGTGATCCAAGAAGAGCCCCTCTGGATCATCTTTTCCGGCAGCATGATCATCACTCTAAAACACGAGCTCATCTTCAACAGCTTCAAAACCATCGACGGCCGCGGCGCCAACGTCCACATAACTGGCCACGGCTGCCTGACGCTCCAGTACGTTTCCAACATCATCATCCACAACGTCCACATCCACCACTGCAAACCCTCAGGAAACACCAACATCCGGTCAAGCCCAACACACGTCGGTTACAGAGGGAAATCGGACGGCGACGGAATCTCAATATTCTCGTCCCGGAAGATCTGGATCGACCACTGCTCGCTGTCATACTGCACAGACGGACTAGTGGACGCGATAATGGGGTCGACGGGGATAACGATATCGAACAACCACTTTGGGCACCACGACGAAGTGATGCTTCTGGGGCACGACGATAAGTTCTTGCCGGACACGGGGATGCAGGTGACGATAGCGTTTAACCATTTCGGAGAAGGATTGGTTCAGAGAATGCCGAGATGTAGACTGGGTTATATTCATGTGGTGAACAACGATTTCACGCAGTGGGAGATGTATGCCATCGGCGGCAGCGCTAACCCCACCATCAACAGCCAGGGTAATCGTTATACTGCGCCGCCCAGTCCCGATGCTAAAGAGGTGAGTTTACTAATTTATTTTAAATTAATTTAATTTAATTACTTATTTCTTTTACTTAAGGTCAGATTGAAATCAAAATATAATTTTAAAAATAATTCTACAGTATATAAAATAAATATATAAAAAAATTTATTTTGATTTACAGATGAATGTTTTTTAAGTATTAAAATCAAACTATAATTTTTAAAGTAATATATAAAAAAATTTATTTTAATTTGTTTATTTGTTTGGTGTTCCCAAACAGGAACACCTCTTGATATAATTTCTCCTTAATATAATTTCTTGAGGTGTTTGTTTTATCGAATGCTAAAAGAGTTCATTTTGTTTGACTTGTTTAGGTATGTAGTATTTTTTTTAAAACATATACTACCTCCGGTTTTTAATATAAGACCTTATTTGACTTTTATTTTAGTCCTAAATATAAGACTCTAATCCATTTTGTCTCTCATATTTACTCAATTTTTTTCAAGATAATCCTTTTAATAATTATAGTTCTGATTAATACACTTGATTAGCAAGGATATTTTAAGAAAGACAACACTTATTTAGGACAAATAACTAACTAACTAACTTTCTTAATCTCCTTAAATTAGTTAACTGATTCTTATAATTAGGATTAGAGATAGTATTAGGTAATGTCCAGAGATTAATCCTATTGAAAATGGGTTTTTCAATTTTTTTATTTATATAGAATTTTTTTGCTAGCTATTTAATAGAAGTTAAACAAAATAAAAATTTTGTTGTTGTAGCAGTGGGACAGAAATTAAAAATATTTATGGAAGAATTTTTTAATTTATGGGACATTTAAAAAGGAGGATTGTTATTTAGAATAAATAAGAATGATTTTTTAAATATCGAATAAAACTGAATGATTGTAAAGGGATGAGAAATCACTAGTTATTTATGGGTTAAGTAAGAAGAATTTAATGAAGTGGTGTGAGGTGGATGGACAGGTGACGAAGCGTGTGGACACAGACGAGGGAGATTGGGCGGACTGGAACTGGCGGACGGAGGGAGACATTATGGTCAACGGCGCCTTCTTCGTGCCGTCCGGCGGTGGTTTCAGCGCTCAGTACGCCAAAGCCTCCAGCGTCGATCCCAAGTCCGCCGTCCAGATCGACCAGCTCACCCTCAACGCCGGCGTCTTTGGCGATCCCAGGTACTGTCTCTCTCCCTCTCCCACATCCCAAAAGGCTATTATCGTCTTTTCACAGAAATATCTGTACTGGGCTGGCCACCGCTCTTATTTCAGAAATTTTTAATTGGCCTTTGTCCTCTCTCCAGCATGGCCGTTCCCTTACGGGACCTTGCAGTTTTGCACTATTGATTATTCTCTCTCCCTCTGACCTCTGTCCTTTTTGTCATTAAAAATAGTTGTACTTCACCCTTAACATAAAAACTATTTAATTGTATTAGGTCATATATTAATTCATAAGATAGATAAATTAATTTAAAAATAAAAAATATAATAAATAAAATATATTAAAAATTTTTATTTGCCATTAAAATTAATTTTTCAGGATGAATGTTGTTTTGTTGAGTAATAATAATTACATAAATTAACATCCTTGATATTGTCCGTTTGCCCTTTCACTTTCACTCACACTTTTGTGTTTGCCACACCCAGGATTGTGCTAAAGGCTCACTTCACAAGGCACACATAACTAGTAGCACAAGAAGAAAGAATAGTAAAATGGGAAGAAATAATTTTTAATTGGTCAAAGTATATATATTTAGTTTTTTACCTTTGCATAATATTTTAATTTAGTTTTTTAATTTTAAAAAGTATATATTTAGTTTTTTAACTCTAAAATTTCTGGGTTTTAATAATATTTTTTGTAACAATGATGAATATTTTGAAAATTTAATTTAATTTGCTAATGTTTGAAAATATTTTATTAACATTTAAGATCATAATGTCATTATTTTTTTAAAAAAATATTAGAGTTAAAACACTAAAAGTTAATTTTTTAAAGTTAAGGGACCAAATTAAAATCTTGTATAAAATTAGAGGACTAAATATATATTTTAGTCTTTTTAATTTTGATTATAAGTTGAATAATAAATGGATTTTAAGAAAGAATGAAAGAAGAAGAGGGGTTACAGGGGATTGTGGGACCAAACAGCCAAAAAGCCACACGCTCTCACACTCACTTAGCTGTCTTTCCTTTATAAGTCGAACCCTGACCTTCTTGTTTTAGAGGGATTTTCATGCTACTAAATCATAATTTCTTACTTTTCACTTTCCTAACACTTTATATGGCATTTCATATCGTGCATAGAATAAATAAAATGTACATGGAGGAATATTTCATGAAAATGACGTTGGAAGAAAAATGAGGAATGGAGTTACAGACTTATAGAGGGAAGCACATGGGAAAGGAGTCCTCCCCGCTCCATCTTCCAAAATCTTCAACTTCTCACTCCAAATTAATATTCCCTGTGCTCTGCTTTCCACCTGGGCCCCTCCTCTTACTCGCATTCTTAATTTTTGAGCGAACTGGAATAATAAAACTATCTCCTGTCCTTGATATAAGACCTTATTTAACTTTTGTTTTGATTCTAAATATAAGATCCTAATCCATTTTGTTTTCTCATATTTACTCAATTTTTTCCAAGATAGTCTTTTTAATAATCAGTTCTAGTTAATACACTTGATTAGCAAGGATATTTAGGAAAGACAACACCTATTTAGAACAAATAATTAACTCAACTTTTTCTTAATCTCTTCAAATTAATCAACTAGCTCTTATAATTAGGACCGGAGGTAGTATTTGCTAAAACAGGAATCTAACTTACCCAAAAGCCTTTTTACTCTCTAGTTAACAAGACATTTTGTGGGACAATCTCTGATTGGACACAAACTTAGACCCTCACAGCTTCCAATTCACAAACAGCTAAGCTACTTTCCGTGTCAGCATTGGAACAGCCACTCTCTCTACTTGCTCTTCACTTTTACAATTACCCATTGCCTGCTGTCTCCCATTCTTTTCTAATCTTTCCCTTTTACCACTACCACCCTTTTACCCCTTTTCGTCTTTGCCAAAAACTCTTTTCCTTCCCATATTTGACCCCAAAATAACCTCAACTTTATAGATAATTACACCACTGAAGCCAAATCTTCTCACATACACAGTGTGCTGCATTATTTATATGTGTATGTATCAGAAATTTACATGCAAGGGATGCCATGTTCCTTTTTATGAAATGATTTGTCTTGTTCTCAGAGTTTGCAGTTCCATATTGGGGTAGAGTGCCCTACAAAGGCATCTCCTTTTGACATGTGGGACCCACTGACCCTCCCTCTAGTTATTACTTTATTATGATTCTTACATTCCTCATTAAGGGCCGCAAAACTTGAGGGCTGCCACTTCAGGAAAAAAAGGCTCCTCTCGCGTTGTTTTAAGACGCCATCACCCCTCAATTTTCTACTGTTTCTTGCCTGTCTTTTGCTCCTCAGTTCAGATCCAATAATACGTGTGCTGCAAGAGCAGTAGTGTATGTATTTACAGGGAAGTGATATAAAGTATGAATTTGATTTGATTGATAAATATTTTATTGAAAAAGAGCTCGTGAGTGCACCAAGCAAGCGCATCATTAGGCAAGAAAATTGAGTCTGAAAAGGAAAAGGGAGAGATTTTCAAGGATCTTCATTTAATCGCTATGGGACGGCTTGTTGAATTGTCACGAGAGATTGATGCTCATGTGGTGCATTTATTTGGAAGTATATAATAACTTGTATAATTATTGTTGTGAAGGGATAATGGGGATCTGTTTCCCGGGTTCAGCGGCAGTGGGGCCGTCGGCGGCGCCACCAGCACCGGCAACGTGGGTTCCAGCAGCGGCGACGATGGGGACTTCTTTGAATGATATTCAAGGGTAGTAGCAGCGAAGCAGCACCACCCTCACTCTCCATTGTTTCAATCTTTTTGTCTATTCTCATTTTCCATTTTGTACACTTTCACAGCCATGCCGTCCTATTGTCGTCCATACTATGATATATGATCTGATCATGCTATTCTAGGTATTAAAAAAAAAAAATTCAGAAATCAAAAGTTGTACTAATTTCTTTGTCTCTCTTAGAAGGGTAAATCATCACGAGATCTCGAGAAAGTATTACTCATCCAATCTTTAATATAAACTTAATTATTAAGTTGATTTTTGATTTTAAATATATGACTTATTTTTATATTATTATTTTTTTAAAAATTAACTTTATGGATATTCTTTTAATCATAATTAAATAGAAAAGGGAAAGATGATAATATTGTTTTAAGAAAAAAGTCATTTATTTCTTATAATTAACTAACTTATTTAACTTTCTTAATTTAGTCAAATTAGTTAAATAGGTTTTATATTTATATTAAGAATTGGAGGAGTATAGTCACTGAAAAATCTTAATAATAAGTAAGTAGCATAAGCTTATTGTTATACATATTGTTTATTTGTGAGACTTTTTAGTGTTTACATTCTTTTCTTGGGATTTCATAGTGATTTTCCCTCCTCGAATCAATCAATCATATCCTCTAAAATTCACTTCACTTAATATATATATTTCAAGTGAATGAGATCATAATATGAATCTCATTTTTTTCTTTTTAGATGGATCTAAGTGAAGTAAATTTTAAAGATCCAATTGAATACATTAAGCCTGGGAAAGGCATCAAATGGTTGGTTTGGGGCATGGGGGGTTTTGTTGATATTAGATTTAGAACGTATGGCGTGCGTGATAAGAGACACTTTTTTCCTCTGACATGTACAAAGAGCTTTATTTCACATGTGGACGAATAGTGTTTGGCTTTTGGGTCAGCAAAAGAATCGGTGGGATGCTTTTCATTTCAACTTTAACTATTGTACCCCAAAAAAACAAAAGAAAAACTTTAACTAAATGGATCTGAAAATGAAGGACAAGAGTCTGAGAATAAAGAAAAGATGAAAAAAAAAGAAAGGAGGAGATAGGATGAGTGCAAGCGGAGAAAGTGGAATTAGTGTTCCTACGTCATTTTCTTCCTTTTTTTTAAAAATAATACTACCTTCGGTCTTTAGTATAAGACCTAATTGACTAATTTGAAAAGATTAAGAAAATTAGTTGAGTTAATTATTTGTTACAAATAAGTGTTGTCTTTCCTAAAATACTCTTGCTAATCATGTATATTAGTTAGATATAATTTGATAAAACCTTTAAAGTGTAACTACTAAAAGGATTGTTTTGGAAAGAATGCATAAATATGAAAGAGAAAGTAAATTAGAGTCTTATATTTAGGACTAAATTAAAAGTCAGACAGTTCTTATAATGAGAAATGGAGATAGTAATGATAACAATAATGCAAATTGCCTCAACATGGCTTGTCCCCCCCCCCCCCTATTTCCAGCCCTCCAATTCCCTCAACATGACTTGGAATTTTGACTATATATAATATCTTATCAAATATTTCGGCTTAATAAGGTTTCCAGTAACTCATAATGCATCACCTTCGCATCATAATCTCTAGATTGCCGATATATTGTCGCAAGTGAACCTTTTTTGAAAAATAATAGGCTAAACTGATCAAAGGCATATATGCATGCAACTTTTAAATAATGGTGACTTCTGATACGATTACATATTTACTAATTATTAATTATGAGTTTAGTCTATAACTTAACACATATTTTTGCCAACTTATTTTAATAAATATTAAAAAGAAGTTCACATTTATATACATTGTTAATTATTAAAGATTGGTTCTAAACTTCTGAGAATAATTGAATTGACCAAAAATATTCAGGCATGAAAAGCAAATATTCAGCCCACGGTGGAGTGTTAGGGTTCAAACTGTATAATACAACAACAAAAAGAATATGATTTTGCTATTTACAAATGTCGACTAAGGACAAATTCGTTTCAATTCCTCCCTTTCATGCTTTTGCCGATAAAAAAAAAAAAAAAAAAAAACAAGAAAACTAACAGAAATTTGAACCCTAATTAACCAAAACCGTATGATCATGAACCCTCACAGTCCCAGCTAGTGCGGCCACTGCTTCCAACTTCTTCCAAGTCAACTGACGTTGAGCTTCCAAGTCTACAGCCATGGCTTCCTTCTCTGAGTACAGACTCAGGCAGCCTTCGTAAAGTTTAGAATCCATTTCAAGCAACATCCCACGCACATTGGCTGAGAGCCCATGCACTGCTTCGTTCCAATGCCCTTTCATGTTCTTCTCTACTGCCTCCAATATCAGTGGAAATATTACATCTCGATTCTCAGCTATTAAGCTTACTATGTGCCCATTGTTCCACAGGCCAAGTGTTCTTTCCGCAACCTGATCGATCCATGCAAAACTTATCAGAACCAATAGTCGTACGTATTCTCAAAGATCTGGATCAGGGAATTTTTTTTCCGGTTTCACTCTGCATTATCTAGTGATGGGATTTATCATTAATAGTAAATGACACAGAATCTGGGCCCCACACTAAGCAAACCAATCAAAGGAGTTCCAAAAACAATGAATCATATCAGTTCTTTTCTCTAAGCTTTATTAATCAAATATGGCATTTTTCTTTCAACGAAGGCATCTAGGTACTCAACTATGTCACAGAAGAGACTGCATAGGGAGAGAGGAAGTTCAAAGCAAGTAGTGTGACCAACTAAAGCCAAAGGAACATCCCAATTGTCATGCACAGAATTTATTTAGTAAATTAAAGCTTATGTTCTGCTTCAGAATTGAC